TTCTGTTTCTTCGTCTAATGTCGCCGCCTTTTTTTTTCCCTTTTTCTTCGTTTAAATAGAATTGCGTCAAATTTTGCTTATCGCTACCGTCCTCCCCCGAACACATCGCACCCTCGTGTTGGCTGCATCGGACCGGAGACGTAACTTGTATACAGTTGTTCTCAGGGTGCGTTGTGTTCGGGGGAAGACGCGAATGCTTTTTTTTTTTTTAATTTATTTTCCGACTTCTGTTTCTTCGTCTAATGTCGCCGCCTTTTTTTTTTTTTCTTCGTTTAAATAGAATTCCGTCAAATTTTGCTTATCGCTACCGTCCTCCCCCGAACACAACGCACCCTCGTGTTGGCTGCATCGGACCGGAAACGTAACTTGTATACATTCGTTCTCAGGGTGCGTTGTGCTCGGGGGAAGACGCGAATGACTCGTTGAGTGGGGCGGCGCGATGACCGTGCGTTCCGTCCGGGTGAAGACGGTTCGATAACGATGTCAACTGTATCGGGGGGGATTTTCAGTCTAGATACACCGTTTAGAACCTCCAGTCATGATACCTGTATTGGGGGGGATTTTCAGTCTGGATACAGCGAGTTAGTATCGCTGTATGTAGACGGAAAGTTGCCCTGAATACAGCTATGACGACCGTGCGTTCCGTCCGGGTGTGGTGTGGAACAAGCTCTTAAGCGGCGGCGGTTCGATAACCATGTCAACGACCGTGTTCACGCCGCATAGAACGGCTGGTCATTATATCTGTATTTGGGGTCATTCTCAGTCTAGATACACAGCGATAATGACCGAACGTTTTGGTCGGGTGGGTGAAGACGGTAGTCTCTATCGATCTCTTGCAGGTGTAGTCGTTACTATGCATACAATGCAATGAGCCTCGCTCCACCACTCTCGACGTTCACAAAAGATGAAAAAAAAATGATGGCGGTGTATCTTTCCATGTTCTAGCGGAAGATTCACTCTCGTTTTGCACATGTCGAGAGTAGTGGGGCGAGGCCCAATATCTTGCTGCGTGGCTGCCTTTAGAGACAGACGCGTGAGTGTTGTTGTGTTTTTTTTTTTTTTTTTTTTTTTTTGGTTTGATGGGCCACGCCCCTCTATTCTCGAAAGGTGCAATATCAGGATGAATCTTCTGCTAGAACTTGGAAATATACACTGCCATATTTTTAGTCTTTAGTGCATGTCGAGAGTCGTGAAGAGAAGCAGCCCTATATGGTAGGGACGCCTGCTAGCGATTGCTTGTGCACGATGTCCTTCGTATATAAATGTAATAAATTATATCTGAGTTTTTAACGTGTAAACAGATTGCATGGATTTTTTTTTTTTTTTAATTTGGACCATTTCTCGATTTATGCGTGTCATCCTTGTAAGCGCAGGGGCCTTGCTAATCGTCCTTCTCTTTATCGTTCCAATTTTAACGGATGTCCCGAAGGACATTGCATGGATTTTGGGTGTTAACGTATATCGTTAGGGCCTGATTGCACCTACAAGCCATCCGGCAAAATTCTGAATGAATTTGAACCGACATTCTGTCCAGATGCATTCAAAATTTTGTGTAAAAACGAGAACATCAGTTCGAACCCAAGGGGTAAAAACAAGTAATCCTCAGTTCGAACCATAGGTGTTAAAACAAGCAACGGCACCATTCACCGTACCGTCCCAAGGTGTTAAAACAATTCCTGGGTGTACCAACTGCGCCATAAGCCCGTTGGTCGATCGTAGTTGACGTGTCTATTGGTCATGGGGCGGGAGAAAGCTGGCTGTCAAACAAAAAGATGTGTGGACTATATCGCTTGTTGTCTCCACTCTGGATCTCTTGAGATTATAGTGCGTGCTGGTGATAAGTAACGGGACTGATGCCCCCCAGAATAGATGGGGTTTTGTTTCATTAGAAAAGAAAAAAAGAAAAAAAAAAAGGAAAAAGGAGTAACCCTCTGGGCTATGGAAAGGGTGTGAAGTGCAGGGTCTTGCTGAATTGGCCCTGGTTGGTTCGGACCGCGCTGCGTGTTTTGGTCCTGGAAGGGTAGGTGGGTGCCAGGGCTAGGCCCCAGTAGCGAAGAGAGGGGATTGGATTGAGCGGTTGAATCTGGACTTGTTTGTGGAAAGTTGCAGAAAACCGAGATGGAACTGCTTTTCTGCATCTCTGCTTAAACCACGTCCAGATTCAGGGAGCTTAATCCAATCCTCTGTGTGCTAGTGGGACCTTCCCCCAGGGCTATTCTGACTGGACTAGATTGTCAGGGATAGGTCCCAGTAGCCAAGAGGGGATTGGATTGAGCGGCTGAATCTGGACTTGTTTGTGGAAAGGTGCAGAAAACCCAGATGGAACTGCTTTTCTGCATCCCTGCTTAAACCACGTCCAGATTCAGGAGCTTAATCCAATCCTCTGTGTGCTAGTGGGACCTCCTACCCCCAGGGCTATTCTGACAGGACTACATTTGTACGCTGGTACGCTGGTGTGTGTTGGTGGGCGACTGTTGAAGTTACTATTATTAGTATTTTTATTACAGACTTTTAAAAGAGCAATAGGGGGTCCTTGGGGTCCCCTGGGACCGAGGGCATCTTCTGATTTTTTTTATTTATTTTTTTGTTCTCATGTGCATCTTCTGATACTGCACTGTTTCTTTTTTTTCCCCCTTGTGTCCCCTGTGATGGTGTTTTGCTGCTGGCGATTTTTTTTTTTTTTTTTTTTTTTTTTTGCGGACGTGCAGCCGATTCATCTTGAATGCTCCAGAAGAGGACTTGCAATCTTTTGAGA